ATAAGTAGCGGTTAGACAACGGATTAAATGATGAAATTAGTGCATTAAGAAAATCATTATGAAGAATTTACGTTATCCAAGAAATAAAATCATTTATATTTTTAACTTAAAAATGGAAGCAATTACACATTAAAGGTTTAAATATAATTTTTGTTACTAAGGCCATCCAACGTTATATGTATATATTCTTAACATTTTTTTTTGCCATCTATTTAACCTGATGTCAGGAATCCGTACAATTCGGAGATAACCGCAAATTATAGTCCATTCACAATAAAATTCGTTCTGACTGTTTCATTATAAACCGCAGACGGCGGATCTGATGTTTTCACAACTTATTATTTGAGGGAAAATATCTCGGCGTTATTAAATATTGTCCAATTGGAATAAGCGGTGCAAATTAATTACTATTGCGAATCCTGTAGCTTGTTTAGATTCATTTTAGTCTAATTACTGACTGAGATTATATAAACATAGCTTACAATTGCATTTATAAACATCTTTATTAACCTGCTACGTAGTTACTTAACCAAAAATTAAATGTGTTTACGGAATCGAGTATTCAAATTCTAGACATAATGAAATGCAAATTTAAAGATGTGCTTTGAAATAATACATGTATTGGACGCAAATGGGGAAGTAACATACAAAGATTCAACGAGTTTTATGTAACAGAGCATAATATTAAAATTGCAAAATCTTACGTAAATCTTAAGGCAGGTTTTATAAGTGACTTGAGCATACTGTATAAACTCCATCAAGAAATGGCTCAAGGCATCTTCATTTTGCATTTAAATAGCATTTTGCATCATAATCATCTGCGTATACACAACGTTAATTGCTAATTTCATTTATTTATTACAATAATTAAGATTGATCTGATTTGCATAGAAAAAGATATTGAGTATAGAATAATACATAACATTCAAAAGTATGATGTAATAAAAAAATGGTTAATGATTTTGACATTGACCTTTGAAGTAGACTAAATATGAATATAAATTTGATCTTTGTGTAATATAAAACAATTATTCCTTTATTTTGTATTATATTTATATAAATCTAAGAGTTTCTTGGTTTTTCCTACAGTGATACATTAATTATCGTAAGTTAAATAAATACGTAAGTTGATGTATAAATGTATATGTTCCATGATTGCTAGATTATTAAACTGTACTCTTTATATGATATGAAATTCTGTTGTATTCATATCTGTCCAATGAAATGTTAAATAGTTTTGGACGCATGACGTGATGGGGTAACGATAATTCCGATAGTACAGTCGACCGCTTGATGCAATTAATGTTCACCAGATTCCGTCCATATATTCTTGATATGTTAATTAATCATTGAAATATTTTAATAACATGTTTTTGATATACTCATTAAAATATTATTCGTTACAAAATTAAATATTTTCGATTGTAATATAAACGAATTCTAATCCAATTGACAAAACATATGTAGTTATAATACTTTAGCCCAGTTCTTGTTTGAGTTCATAACATTTGACATTCAAGTCATGTTTACATTCGTCACCTTTCTCCTCTTTGTGTCAAAGTTAAACAAACTAACTAAGTTACAAGATACAAAGGTACATATCCCTTGATATGAGTTTGCTTCATTAAACCAAACACCGTCTGCTCCAACATTTTTCTTTCATATACTTATAGATTTAGTTATGTATAACTTAGGCTTTATACTCTTCTACAGCAACTTTTTAAAGAAATTACCGACATATCCTTAGATAATCAGTAATATTGAATGAAATATTATATCAATAAAATCTTCGTTTTGAAATCGACTTTCTTTTTCTTAAATTTTTGTTTATCAACTACCACAAACTATCACTTATTTTCAAAAAAATGTTTTATGTATGAAAAATTTTGTCTCTTAAAAATTATACATTATTAAGGCTTAAATAGCTAAAGTAAAGCTATAAATGCAGTATATTTATAACCATAACAATATTATATTGTGATCAATTCATTGATTTATTTTACATACATAATTCTATACAAGGGTGATCTCAGCCTTTACTATAAGATTTTGCAAATTGATGAGGTAAATAGTATTTTATTAATTTAAGCTGCAATTTTATTGTTGTTGATTACATCAGTATCATGATAATAATACAGTACATTTAAAAGTCTATTATACCATTAGTGTTCTGTACAATTCATTATAGGAAATGAATAAATCGGTATTCAATCTACAAAGTTTATTCAAAAGTCCTACGACGAAAAGTTTTACTAAAAATTAAACTTTTTAAAGTACGGAATCGAAGGCAGGAGTGGTCGGCGCCGGCAATGCTCATTTGAATTACGTTTTACTCCGCCTTTTGTAGTCAACTTCATTTAGGAAAGTTAAAGGGAATACTTTTCTTTTTCTCTATCAAAGAACTTAAGAGATGCATTGTTGAATCAGTTACAAATTGCATGCCAGTCATTTAATAAAAACTTTGCCTGATAGCAACCAAAGTAATAAAAATCATCTCTAAGTACAGTCTATTAATCTTCCGTCAATAAGAGTAGTTGCTAACGAATTAATTAATTTATTTTATGTAAATGCTAAATAATTTAATGCTATATTTTTTAGGAATTCAAAATAAATTCAACAACATAAAAAAGTATTTGAAATCAATAAAGAATCTGAAAACATTTTTCTTTCGTCCACATCTACCTCATTAATTCACATTTCTATGTGGCTACCTTTATCAATTCATAAAATAAAATTGCAAAGCATCTCTTTGAGATTACAATGTACTACATACTAAAGTAATATTAAAAATGAATCTTAAACGAATAAAATTGGTTTAAAAATATTTTTAGCTGATATTATTTCAGTTATTCTAAAGTGGCTTGTAGTGTTGTCGCTGAATACAGGCAACAAGTATCCAGTGAAAGCATCTTAAACATATCAGAAGAATTTATTCTTTAAAGAAATATCAAAAACTTCGACAACTGAAAAGATATTAAACAGAATTTTTCCGGAACTCAGGTCATTTCTTCTGAAATATTTACTCGTACTTCAATAAAATGTCGAGCGAGCTACTACAAAGCGTTGTAAATATTAATAGCTAACATTTGCTTAGACGTATAAATAGGATCAAAATGCTCTCATAATAAAGGTACAAATTAAATATGATATAGGTTATCAACTTCTTTAATCTTGTAAACATGTTTAAGAGATAATCTCTTAGTTTTAGTATCAAATGTGCTTGCTCATGAATCAAAATCGCCTTACTTTTGTTATTTGATAATAATCACCTTATAATCTTTATAATTTGATTAGAATTATATCGTATTTTATGTTTGTATTCTACTAACAGTAAAGGTTTGTTCTATGAGGTAATGGTAACTTTTTATTATTTTTAGTGGACATTTTTAATCTTTATTGATATTTGGTACTTTTACATGTAAAGAACTATAATTACTATTTACATAACGTGCAAGGGCGTTTTTCAAACAAAACTTATGAACTAAAATAATTGATGAATTATTTGGAATAGGAAGTGTAAATAAAATAAAGAACATAAATTACCAAGACCTTTGATCAAGGTATCAAAAAATGGAAACGTGTGTAAGACATTAGAAGGAGAGTGGTAGAAGGGGTCCAGTCACGGAATCTACCCGAGGCAATTTGGTACCAAATGTCGTTTGGTACGTGCCCCACAAATAAAGAGGATGGAATAAAGCCGCCTGTATTACTGTAGGAGCTGTTAGTTCACAATGTGCCGTATCTTACGTTGTGTATGCAAAAGGAAAACGAATTTGTTGTTTCAAACTGCTTTTCCTTGTAGCGATGCCTTCTCGCAAGCAAAGTTTACATTACGTAAAATCTAGTTTATTTGATCTCTATGTTTATTTATACCTGACAACATATAAGTTTTCATTTGATTCTGGTTTTATACATAAAAATATATTCATTTTTGAAAAAAAATGTTTTTATTACAATAAAAACTTTGAATGTTGTTATAAAAACAAATTACTGTTTTAATAAAAATATATCTATTTTTTTTATAAAAACAATATCTATATTTCCTACCATTTGAATGAAAAAATTCTTAGATTTATGTGTCGTACAGTTAACAATGGGCTGGTCATATACAGATGGCGTATTGGCATTTTAAAATGTATGCTGGCCTGGCTGATATATAGTTTTCTATTAACGCCAACTAGAAGCAATAAAGTGAAGCCACTGATGAAATTTGTATTACAAAATTAATAACAAGAACTTTAAAAGGCTGGCCTAAATGTTTTGCTTCAAAGCGCCTTAGGGAAATATGTCTGTAAGTTTTAACAATTTGCTGAGTAATAAAGAACTCCTTCATATACATGCAGAGAGTTTGGATACCATAGAGACATGGGCAAACTTTAGGTAAGCGGTTTTGAGGTAACAATTATCTAACAAAATGAACAAGTACTTTATATTATAAATTAATTTTATTTGTATTATAATATAATATGACTAAATATTTGGAGTAATAAAATCCAGAACATTGCACAGCAGGGCAAGCATTAAGTATCACGAGGCCGTAAAAGACATTAGCACGTAGTATCCCCACGTACCCTGATATTGGGGTAAAAGGGAAAATGCATCGCCTTTATGTAATATGCCTATAACCTACGGATTAGGATGTTAGAATCCCTCATCCGCCTTTTACTTTCACTTCGTATCTATATTTATGAATATGGCATGCGATTAATACCGGCTGTTCTGTTATCTAAGCTCCTATATAACAAGAAAACGATAGAAAGAGTTGACATGCATAATATATGTATAATGACACCAACTTTTATACAATATGCAGCTTGCATTTATTATTTAGGTTTAAATTAGTTAACAATGTTTTAATTGCAGGACTATTTATAATGTTTACTCTAATTATACAAACCTTATATGTATAACAACTTCCAAAATTTTGGCTCAAAGAATTTGCATCCATTCGCGTTATGTAGGTTTCTGAAGAAGTTGCTTTAAGTAATATTTACAATGGAATGCTGCTAGCAGCCGACAGTTTGCCACACCTCAGTAACGAGGTTGCAGCATCCTTGAAAGGCCACATTCCTAAACGTCTATTTACGGTCTAAGACCTCATTTTCTTTTTTATTGCAAATTAATTCTTATTGAGGAAAAAATGGACTACCTAATTCAAGTGAACTACTTTAATGGAATAATTATATAATGATTAAATTTATTTCAACTTAAAATTTAATGTAAAGTCATCGGTAATAATAATTTATTACGAAATTTAACGATTATATTTTCTTTGTTTCAGAATATCTTGGATAAGTTCAACCCTGGAGCTCGTCAGATGATAACAGCTGGTAAAGCTTACTTAAAGGCTTTACACGGTAAGTATTTATTGGATTAGTACCGCACGAAGCTTACTTGAAAAGTATAGAATGTCTATGTTCTTATCACAGACATATATTTTTAAACACGATTGTTTTTATATTCCCGTCGTGATTTAACGAGTGTACACATAAATGAAATAAATGGCTTAATCGGATCTATTTCCACCGACCCAATTAAGCAACATTTACACAGCCACGATTCCCATTAATAAAGATATCAGATATTTATAGGCTAATTCATTCGCGACGAAGTCAAATTAATTCAGTATGACGCGTATTCAGTAAAACGGAGACAATTAATTTATACACCGTAAGCCAAATGGGTGCATCTATATGCAAAACCTCAGTTGTGCTTGTTTGGCTTCGGAACTGGGGCATCGTTGGTGCCAAATTGTCTCTGTTGGCTTATCTAGTGTATTATACTCGATGCTAAATGTAATAAACTTTTCTATTGTGTAGCGGGATGTGTTTCTATCGATACTTGCACCGCTTTGAGAATCTCCAATGGAGTGGTGATACTTCAAAACAAGTGGAGACATTATATTCTTTAAGATTGTTTATAATTTTATACAAATAATTTTATAGCATATGTTGGTGAAATAAACATACTTCTGTACATAAAGGTGCCGCTGCTGCATCTCGTATGTACGTTGATGCTGTGGGTAAGCTAGGAAGACAGGCCCAGCAGGGAACTTGGGGAGGATGTGCCGATATCGGTAAATTACCTAACATATATATTTTTTCTGCCTTTAAGTTTAAAAATCCAATCTAATGAAGAAACTGTTATAAACTCTAGATTCTATAAAAAGATATTATGAATGTATTCATAATATTATGCCAATGGACGTTATTTACAAAGTCAAAGATTGCCTTCTGTAATGTCTATTATAATTCAAGGTCCTATTGTTATAGGCAGATTGACTTATCGACTTGTAATGGAAATAATAATGTATATAGCTATTTATGTGACTATTTCAACAGACTATATTTTAAAATAATGGCCTGAAGTAATTTTGTCTATTTCTAAAATGTTATTTCATCCACTTTTATTTATTAAAGGTACAGCTCTTATGAAGGTTGTGGAAGTCTACCGGGAAATACAAGATCAACAAATGAATATTGTAAGTCTTTATTTAAGTTAAAATATAGTTTGTGTAAATTTTGCTTTCAAGTAATTATCATTGAAGTTAATAAAATCACAATTTCTATAGATAATAACTTCTTTTAGACATTTTATATTATGTAGTTCCATAAGAGTGCTTAAAATTATTTCTTTTGATGTGTTTATTAACAACGCAAATTTCATAAAGTTTTATGTGGAAAGTAATGATGGTAAATTGTTTTTTGTTACAGTTAAAAGCCTTTTACGTAGACTTGCTGGTCCCTCTGGAGACTAATCTAGAAAAAGATACGAAAGTCGTACAGGTTGGTGCATTTATTCTAATTTTCTATTTTTCTATTTTCCTCTTTGGTTTTCTGTAATAGTGTGTCAACAACTAATATTTATTATTTGAATACAAATGTTTAATATTTTTTTTCAACTCAGAATTCATGTGAGTTTTTTTTCAGTCTGAGCAAAAAAGGTTTTTACAACAACATAAACTACGCTCTGAGAGTTACAGCAAGGCCGCTGCAACCATCAAAAAACAAAGAAAGAAAAAAACGAATGTTACCAAAGTTGGTACAGCCATGGACAAAGAAATGAAGGTACATAATTTCAACATGTATTTTCAAACTTTTTTTACTTTAATTCTTTCTGATGTAAAGTAACAAGAATAATACCACATGAACAAAAGAGTGCAGTTATTACTTATTTGTGTAACCCTATTTTATTTCAATACAATATCATAAAATATAAAATAATTATTTTTTTCAGAGTATGCAAATATTGGAGGAAGAAAAAACTAAACTAGATGCTTTTTGCGAACAAAGCTTAAAAAATGTAAGTTTTAATCAACTCATTACCATAAAATTTTTGAACATTATAATGACGATAAAAACACTTTTGGTGTGTGTTTGTTTAAGCAATATGTTTCTAAAGTTACTTTAAAGTTATAAAGTAAACAGTATTTTTTTTTCTGAATTATATTCACATTTATAATATCCACGTATACAGGCAATGACTCAAGAACGCAGGCGATACGGTTTTGTATTAGAACGCCAGTGTTCTCTCGCTAAACATTGGCTTGCGTACCATACAGCCGGTGCAACAGCTTATAACACTGGCCTAGATGAATGGCTAGAAGTATCGAGGACTAGAGAATTCCTGCCGTCCAATGTTGAAGCCATGTTTGTGAGCAGAATGAGGGTAAACATTTAACATTTATCATCTAACTTTTAAACTTGTTAACAGTAGATTTAAATCGTAAATAGTGCATTGAATTGATTTTTTAATTTTCATAATTAAAAAGAATCTCATTCTAATGTCTCTTTATAATAATATTTTTATGCAGCAAGTATCTTTCTGGGCTGATGAAGATGTATACGCAAGTCCACGTAATGGCGATGACGATGATGGTGCTTCCGTTGGTTCCGCCTTACGCAAAACAAGATCTGTAGATGCTTCTTGTCTAGACGTTAGATCTATTGCAGATCTGGGATCACCCAGCCATGGAATATCAAGAGCCAAATCTGATTTAAATCTTCAAGCAAGTCTGCATACTATGGAACAAGGTGAATAGCATAAAATGTGCACAAGTTCTCAAATTTAAATAGTCTTATAAAAAACTAGTCTTATAATAGCTATATGTATATATATAGTCTTATAAAAACTATAAAGGGTATGACGTTTTATACCTTCTTTTTAAAAATCGAATATAGTTTTAAATCCGTTGTTATTTATAGATATAGAAACACGAAATAAAACACGTCCCTCTTCCCTTGCGCCACCAACATGCACATCACGAGATCCTCCACTAGCCCGCGCCCTTTACGCTTATTCTGCTGCTGGTGACAACCAACTCAGTTTTCAACAAGGAGATATATTAGCTTTGCTTGGAGATCGAACTAAAGGTTGGCAATATGGAGAAAATTTGCGAACTCATGGCGCCGGATGGTTTCCATTAGCTTATACAGAACCCATGATTAATGAGGAAACTGGGTACGTAATAAAATCCAGGAAATTTTAAGATTTCTTCATTTATTTTAATGGTAGAGATACCATTTATATAAACAATTTCTTATAATTACCGTTATTTGCAGGGGAAGTTCTCCCGCTCGTTGGAGCAGTGCCCAAACACCTAGTGAGACGCCACCACCTGCTCCCATATCGCACACCCAAATGTCATCAGCAACTCCTACGCCTCATTCACATAATCATCCACCAACACGCATGTTTGGAGATACTGTTACGGCTCATCATGTAGCAAAGGTTTATATATGTTATAAAATAAGAAAGGATTTATTCAGAAAGAATGTTTCGTAACTTTACTAATGCTTTTAGGGTCGATTGGCAAATAGCTCTCCTGGTTTACCACCGACGCTGCCGGCACCATCACCAAGTGCTCTGAGCACTTCTGCAAGTGCTACATTCCATCCAACCCCGTTAGCAGCAGTAGCATCAAGCGCCATAAAAAACTCTACTTCGGCTGCTAGTTTTACTACCCATGCGGTTATAGAAACTAGAAGTTTTGGACCCCAAACGTTACCAATGCGTTCTCAGGTATTTTGAAATTAATATTTTAAATATTTTTATTAGCTTAAAATTCAATATTTTTATATTCTTTTGGTTTACTTATTTTAATTCTTTTAACAGATTGCCCAAAAAGTAGCTCCGGCTAAAACTGTTGTGTCGGCAGTAGGTGCAGTGGGTAATGTCTCCTTGCATAGTTCCAACGATTCTGGTTTTTCCAATGAACCACCTCCACAACCTGATGTTGACTACAGCGATGAAGAGGCACAACGACTTCGCGTTCCTATCAGGTATTTAAAAAAGAGTGGGCATTGATGTTGGCTTGTTTTATTTTGCTTGTTTTTATCATTTAGTTCAGCTAGATTATTTTTAATTTACAATATTATTTTTATAGTAAATCCGCACAGCTTAACAATGAACGCAAAGCTTATCTATTAAAAACACAAAGTTTAAAAAGAGGTCCGGGTCCTAAGAACACAAATAATGGATATTTGACAGATGATCAACAATTATTGCTACGTAATATGTTGGATATGGATAAAGATTCTCAAAAAATTAAAAGAACAAAATCCTTTTGGAAATTTGGGCGTACCACTTCTGAAGAGATAATGGAGGGTATGTGTCTTTGGCAGCATCGTGACATAGTTGATACTGTTCCCGAATATAAAAAGAAACTATTTGTTAAATTAAAAAAAGAATTGCGACCAGCGCCTGAAATACCTGAAACAAATAAAATAAAAAGTCAGCCAGACAAACCCTCATCTTTGAAAGATGGCAGCTCTTCCAGACCTCAAGAAACAATAGATAGAAAAGATATAAAAGTGAACAATGGTATGCGACAGGCAAGAAGTTTAGGTTCTATTCAACACGAAGAACATACTGAGAGAGAGAAAAAGCAAAATCAAATGATAAACAAGAAAAGTTTCTCCGAAAAGTCTATTGTTGAAGAAAAACAAGATGACTTCGTTAATCGCAATGAATCGCGGCACTCTGATTTTACAAACACCAGTACTATAAAAACCAATTTTGAAAACAGTTTTTACAATGATGAAAATGGGGATGGCTATGTTATGAAAACTGTGAAACGTAGAGAAATACTTCAAAGATATGATAACGAGAGCAATTCAGATAATAACTCTGTAGCATCTAGTACAGATCCCTATGATTGTATCATCGTTGATGATCATATGACTTCTAAGAAACAACAAGAACTTGATAGACGTCGTCAAACACAAATTATGGAAAACGATATTAAAACTAATGAAGAGAATGCTTATATGCCTGAGTTTGAGGAAATCGAGGTAACGCCTATAAAGCCCCATGTTCGTGCAACATTATTAAATGATAAAGCTAAAAAACCATCACGTGAAAGATCTCCACCGAAAATTATGGAATTCAAAACCTTTAAGGACTCCTCAAAAGAAATTAAAACATTTTCTGCTTCTTCTGAAACATTAAAGTATAAGGATAATGAACAACCAACAGACCGTTATGGCAATCCACTTGAGCGAAATAACAATGAGAATCGAAAAGACGAGATGTATAATGATGATAATGGAACTTTAAAATATAAAAAACGGTCTAATGAAGAAAAATCAAGGAAGCATAACTTTGAAAATGGTAATACTAGAGATTATCCACAAGCAGAGACGAGGCATCAAAAGAAAGACGCTCGTCTGTTTGAAAATACGGAACCAAGAATTGATTATTCTTTGGATCGACGTCAGTCAAAAAAAGAGTATATTGAGTCAAAAAATCGTGATAATAAGGCAAGAAATAGAGTAAACAGGAGTTATGATGACAGTTCATTACAGTATAATGGTCGCAAAGAAGAGAGATATTATGAATCAAATATTTCGTACTTCAGTGACCAAGAAAGAAGAACATCTAGGTATGATTATGAAACTGATTCTAAAAAAGCAGAAAAGTCAAAGATGCGCCAAGAAGAAGCGAGATTGGAAGCGAGGCGTATAAATGAACGTAGGACTGATGCACCATACAGTGAATCGGATGATCAAAAATTTAACGAAGCTTTAAAACAACAGCGACCTCAACTTTTACCGAGAACTAAGCTTCTTAAACGAACCGCGGATGGTAATGAGTTGCCAGAAGACGGTCATACCTTCGGACCCTGGTACGATTTATGGGGACGAGAAACTGCTATGTACAAATAAGTAAAGGTTTAGCTTATTAAGAGTTTTATACCAGTGTTTACATGTGAGTATTTACGAGAGGAGTAGTAAAAATTAAAATTATGTTTAACCATTAATCGTAGTGTAAAATTTCTTATATTGTTTTTTGATTTAGTATTAGTAACATGGCACTGTTTTTTTTTGTTTTAAGGCAATGCTATATATTTTTGATATAAAAGTGTTAGATGATTGTGTTTTTGTATATTTTGTTATCATTTTTAGGATAAGATTTTTAATATAAAATTTTTCTACTGATTTATGTACTCATTGTAAAAATGATCTTTATTACAAATAAAATAACAAAGTGGTCATTTATACTTGCACTTATTAACTTTTTTAAATATTAAAAAATTTTCAAATAATTTTGAGTAACAATTTCATAAAAAGATATATATGAAGCTGAGTTATATGTAATGGTTTTTAAATTATGAAAAACAAATATTGATTGCCAAAAATTTTATAACTTATTTGTACCCAGGCCGCAGCAATTTGCAACAGTGAAACTAAGAAAGGCTTTAACAAACGATCGTTCGTCGCCCGCCATTGAATAAAATTCTATATGGTTTTTATATTTTTTGTTAAATATACATATATTATTATGTAAATTAGAAGCATCGTGTATTTTGTACAGTTAAATATTTATACTTTAAGAAAGAATATATCACATTTTTATAATAATTAAATATTTGTTTTATTTACAATTTCCTTAACTTAACAGAGACCTCGAATTAAATTTTTGAAGTTGAAAGAGATTACTAACTTAATTAAAAGTAAAATATTTATTGTATTTTATATATCACATTTGTTAACAAGATGGAAAGTAAACATCACGGACTCAAACTATACCTTCCGTGAAGCCATACCAAGGGAACAATATATCCTTCCTGAAGGAAAAATGTACGTCAATCGGTCCCATGACAGAAACTCATGATTTATCACTTCTGTTTCCGTGGGGTGATTCAGAAATGCAGAAGTAATATGTTTTAAAAAAATCTTAGTTTTATCACCTAAAAAATAAACTAATAGTATTTTTTAAGTATAATTTTTAATCAAAATATTAAATATATGTATATCTATACAATGTGACACACTTATACTCAAAATGAATATACAATATTAATATAATAAAAGTATGTTTATGATGTATAATGCCAGGGTAGTTGTTGAGGAATTTTTGTTTTCCCCTATCTACCTTCTTAAGATATGAATACACAATATATATACGCTATAGAAAAGAAAATTATAGTACATTAAACATTGTAGTTATGTGTTCTTCAACATAATTACAAATATAAAAATAATAATATGGATATCTCCTATTTTTAGTAGATATTTATGAGAACACAGTAATACAAATTTAGGCAGAAATAAAGTTATAATGCTATTCACAAAACTCTTAACAAAGTTTAATGGAAATATAGAAAATGTTTGTGGAACTAATATTTGTTATATAACATACGAGTGTTGGATTAACAAGAATATAATAATTAATAGTTTTTTCCTGTTCAGCATTAAAGAAATTACTTTATCTTAAAAAAAATGTATTGCTAAATAAAATGATAGTTCCCTAATAACATAAATCATAACTTAGTATTTTTTTATTGTCTTAATGAACTTTAAAATAATTCTATTCATATGCGAATAATTATAAATAAATTTAACGATTCATAAGACTTATAGGAGTAATAGATAGAAAATACAAAATCCTTAAGTATTACAAAGTTAATTAAAGTTTATAAGGAAGGGGACATTCAAACACTAGAACAAAACATTTGAATGATTTCAACTGAGTTGAATCCGTTAAATAAACCTCTCAATACGTTATGAATATAAGCTAGTCGTATAATGACTTCCTATCTGAGGAAGCATCGTTCGTTTTCAAAGTACTATTCGTTTCACACGTTGATGGTAGCTAAGTGTCACAGATTTAAAAGCTCAGGTCTTTACATAAAGGGACTAAGTTGAGAGCAAAGGAACTACGATTATACCTCTCAGGAAACTCAGTCTTTCAAAGGAGCGTTGCGCGGGTTGGTATATTTCCATGACCTTATAAATATCAAGTTAAAGAAATTTAAAGCGAATTTTGTTTTAATTCTTTATACATATTTATAGAAAATGCTTTAAGTGGGATTCTTATAAAATTAATAATAAAAAATCGGCGTCAATTCAAACACTTTAAATTTATTTATATTTTTGTATATAACCTATATAAAGATAATGGTTTTGTTGATATCATATTTGGTAATAAAAATAAATTAGTCACAAATAACACAAAAGAACCCTCAAAATCACAAACACGGGTCGCTACATAAAAATCAATTTGTAGTATAAATCGAGCGAAGACACCATTGCTTTCCAAGTCATCAATTCCCTTCATGTGACTTGGCCTGTGAACATCCATATAATCATTTGTAAAAAAACATGACCTAAGTTTTTAAATTTCATCACACGTCACTGGTACGTCGAACCGAAAGAGAATTTTATTTCAATCTGACTACCTACTATGCTGAATAACTAAAAACTCGGATGAACAAAACGGTTTACACGAACTATAACCACGTTAACATAAACTAAATTTCAAACATTGCGACATATTGCTTTTGCTAAAAGCCATGAAAAACTAAAAGTTTTATTTGTTTCTAAAACGATATTAGTTGGAAAATTTAAGTACTTTATTTAATTCACAAATAATGCAAACATTGCAAAATTTTAATGCTGTTTAAAGTTAACAAAACTTTTAAAATTTTACTGAACTAAATCGTACAAGGTTCTAGTTACCACAATGTTCTTATACGAAACGTAAACAGTTTGGTCAACGGTTGCAGCTGGACACATGCAAAGGGAAAACAAAATTTCGTCGTATAATGTTCCATCCAAAACTCGTAATGTAAATAAAAGTCATTTACGCTTCCAGAAACAACATGTTTGAAAACATTTCAACTATTAACAAACTTGTTTGAATTTAACTATTTTATGGTTGAAAGTAATTAGTGCAAAAAACATTTATATTTTAGAATATTCGTCTCTTTACTACAAAAACATGCAAATCTTATGGGAGTAGAATTAATACAACCAAGAGGCTTTTAAACCTCGTAGACAAATAACTAGTGCTGTCAAGAATCCAAAAGGGTAATACCTTCGATCACTCGTGCGAATCCATATATTTTTAAAGGTAGGGTAGCCTGACGTTGTATATTGTGGCTACGCTAGACATAATCCAAATGATAAGCGGACAGGGCTATTTGGCAGCGGCCAGCGGTCTCTATCACACCGATGCCAACCACAAGAGCGAAATGCCACTACCCGCCATTTTAGTCGCACTAATTTATGTTAAGCACCATTATAGCGACACATAGTGTGTGTTACAAAGTTTTTAAACACAATTGGATTCGAGTCTTGGAATTGTTTTGTAATTCCTTGTTAAACAGTTTTATATAACATCGCTTTTCAGATAAGCTTACTCTTTTTACGTTACTTTTAAAAGGAATTTTGAATTTAAAAAACATTTATTGTGCAAATATTTCAGACACGTATTTTGTATCAGATGGCCTGTCATCTGTACTGTTTTAATGCAATACTGTTATCTCCAAGCAATGTGTACGATTAAACTTTTGCGGCCATAAACTGTTGGATCGAATTGTTCTATTCGAACAGTTCGGAATGAAATTTTGAACATCAACGAATTACTCGTGAACACCATCAAAAATTTATTACAAAATAAAAATACAATAAAATCTACATGTTTTACGATCAGAAATCTCTTTGATGTAAAAAGTAATATCGTTTCAAGTACTAATTCTTAGTATACATAAAAAAAATCTTGGTGCGGAAAACTACAATAAAAATTTATGAGAAAGGGTCTGTTTTCGATATATATTTTTTATAATCGGAAATATTACGTTAATACATTTATTTTAAAAGCGATTTTATTATCTGAACTAAATTTGTTTGTATTTATGTATGTTACTTATCACATATAGCTATATATGTATAATTTACAACAAATAAATTTCATTGAACAACAAGATTTCTTAACTATATATTATCGGAATGATACAACACGAAACATCTTTAATTAAAAAAAATGAATAAGTAAAGTTTAATAAAAAAAAGCTAGCAGACGAACGTTGACATCATTATCACTCAACGTTAAAATATGAATCAGTTTTTATTCAAGCGTCTTATCAGCAGCTAAGGCAACTTTTTAAGCGTTATATATTTAATTTAGCGATATAACATATTTTATCTTCACCCGGACTTAAAATTATGACAGCGGATAAATAAAATGATACATAATATTATTATAGTTTTATTTTATTTTTAATATTTTTTAAAGCTACAAAATATAAATGCTTCTAAAAAAAATATTCCCTTTTCCCTTGTTTTATTTTTAGAATAGAACATTATTGAAATGTAAATATATTGATGCATCTGAGGAGAATAAGCAATTTATCTTTCGTAGATACTTGATATTCATAAACACAATATTCATCATATGATCTAACAGTTCAACCTAACGGTATCTCTCTATAACTTAAACAATTCTATTAAAAATTGTTATGAACAATAAAAATGTAAGTTTATTTCATTCAAAATAAAACTGGATAACATAAACGCTTGATAAATAGGTATAATTAATTTAGAATGTTTTAGGGATAGAAACATAATAAACAATGAAGTGTATTTAAGAAATCTATTACTTATTTAATATAATCCCCATTTTTCAGCTTCTTGGTAGTTTTTCTCTAACATGGATGCTTATAGTTTTCTGACTTTAACTTAAATTATAGTGAAAGGATTACACAAATCTTTAGCTCTTAAATTTCTTAATGAAAACCATTTAGTAAAATTACAAAATGGTTAATTTATAACAATAGCCGTATGGTCTAGAATGTTTGTCCAGTTTCACTGCCAATCTAAATTTTGGCTTCAAGTAGCAGTCTTGGCTCCAATTCAAGTGGGACACTAACAAATGAGTGTAA